TTGTGACACCGATTTGGTGATAAATTAAAATCAAACTCAGTCTGAGTCAAAATTAAATCCCATTGCCTGATGTTTTTCCTGTCAAAGGAACGCAGCAAATTTTACAAACTCCTGTTAACAATCTCTGTTTGATCGTCAGTTTTGGGGTGATCACTCGAACTATGAATTAAAAATTTGACAGAAAGTAAAATATTATTTTAGGATTAGATAAAGGTATGTAAAATATTTTTGAGTGTAAGATTTAAGATCTTAAGATTTTGACTATGCAAGGAGAATCTAATGCTATGTGAAAAAAGTAGTTAGTGATATTAAAAATATTACGAAAGATCTGCTTGGAGTATTAAAAGGAAAAAAACTTTAATAATAAAAATAGTTGATGGTGAAATTAAAATGTAGAAGAAAAAATAAAAAATAAGAAATTTTATTCTAAAAATTGTTTGAATGTAAAAGCTGGAAAAATTTGTTAGAAGGTCGGATTTCGGTCCGTTCTGAATCTGGTTAGCCCAAACATGATTCACTTAATAAATGAGTCAATAATGTGTACCTGAACCCAGAGGGGGTGCACATGCCCCCTAAAAAAAATTGCGGACTTAATTTTTTAAGCGATTTTTGCCTTGATTCGTTCGTTCAAATGCTCTGCTCCTTTTCGAGTCTCAACCTCTTGTCCGATCTTGATACACACACTTTTCCTTTGCCTCTAGTGTAGACTCGCAGACTTTCGGCCCCTTTTGCTCGGCCTTGACCTTGACTCCAAATTCCCAAACGCATGCGGTCGTAGAAGTCGACCTTGTCCACAAGTTGATCCAGGTATTGAGTTTTTTTTTTGTTTGATTAATAGTCGACCTCGTCTATTGATGGATCAAAGCATTTAGGCGTTCTTCCCATTACAACTGAAGCAACTATTTTTTGTGTTTTTAAGGGATATTTAACTCATCAATCTTATTTGTGCTGTTTATTATCAAGATTTTGTTTATTTGGTTGCTCTTAATCAAATAAACTTTACACTTCTGCTACTTGGAAGACGTTTGCTTTTTATTTCTTTTTTGATTATTTTATCTCATTTTCCGTTTCATCGGGCTTGTTATGTGATAGAAATGTACCCCTCAAACTTAATGGAAAATTCTATAAGGTGGTAGTGAGACCTGCAATGCTTTATGGTGCCGAATGTTGGCCATTAAAAGAGAAGCATAATACTAAGTTAAGTGTGGCAGAGATGAGGATGCCCAGGTGGATGAGTGGCTTTACCCTTAGAGATAGGATACGAAATGAGCATATACGTGAAAAGGTTGGAGTAGCTCCAGTAGAAGATAAGATTAGAGAGAGTCGCCTTAGATGGTTTGGTCACATAAAACGGCGGCCTTCCGATGACCCGGTTAGGAGAGTAGATGTATTAGATTTGACTTATGTTAAGAAAAAAGGTAGGGGTAGACCTAAAAAGACTTGGTTAGAAAATATTAGGAATGACCTTTCTTTATTAGATTTAAACGAGAATTTGACTTTTAATATGACACAATGGAGAAAATGGATTCATGTAGCCGACCCCACGTAGTGGGATAAAAGGCTTGATGTTGTTGTTGTTGTTGTTGTTGTACCGTTTCATATAACATTTGCATTCTTGACCTGTGATAGGTTTTGTAAATCTTGATGTCTTGTTGATATTAATTGAAATTTGAAACAGAAACATTTTGAAGTTGTGAAACTTTGTTGTGCAAAACAATTTTCCGGATTTAGCACCCTAAAAGTTGACTAAATCCACATTTATAGGATCTAATAAACCCTATTTGAATTGTATTCTACTTGTAGCCAAAAAATCTCTTAGTAAGTTCATGATTGAGTAATTGGAGAACAAGCTCTAAAAATTTCTTAAAAGAACACTAATAAGCTGCTTGTTTATATAACTAGGCTCTATATTGATATAGAGCCAATTAGGGAAATTAATAAAATTTCATGATTAAGGAGCTCCGTATTATTTTTTTAATAAGAAATTAATTGAGAAATTGTTTCTCCAATTACTATGTGGTTCTTATATTATCGTAGTGGATGCTATGATTTATTCATGATTGAAAATTTTGTTTTTCACTTATTATGGTTCTCCAATAACTTGTGCATTCATTTATTTTCACTAGGATATCATTTAGTTTCAACTTTTTGAGTTTGTTTACTTCCATTTCTTGTTTTATTATTATTATAAGTTTGAATGTCTATGGCATGGTTTAAAATTGCGCAATATGAGGCTCGCCTTAAGGCCCGCCTTTGCGCAATTCCAGTAAAAAAAGGCCTCGATGCTTACGCCTTGAGTTTTTTTTATGAGGCTTGCGCCTCAACTTCGTTAAGGCCCGCCTTGAAGCCCGCCTCGCCTCACTGGCATGAGGCTTACGCCTCACGCTATATATATTAAAACTTACATAAATCTTGAAGTAAATGTCCGACATTGGAGTCTATAGGAGAGGAGGAAGGGAAAAGAGTAGTTCATCATAATAATGATTCAAATGAAGAACCCCTTAGTGATTACAGTGCTGATGACTTATGAGTTCTTATGTGATATGTCATTGCTATTTTTTTTGGAAATTTGAATTATATGTTAATGAAAAAAATACTGGGATTTGGGAAAGATAGAATTTTGAGTTGAACTATATTTCATGTTATCTTATTATTGAGATATTTTGATTTCACTTCATATCTTATATTTTTTTATGTTTTATATTATTCACTCATTAGTATATAAAAAAATTATCATTTTATGTTTACGCAATCTTTTGATTTTGAGGCTTACGCCTCAAAACGCCTTGAGGCTTACGCCTCGCCTCACGAATGAAAAACGCCTCAATACCCGAATACGCAATTTTAAACATTGGTCTATGGAGAGAGATTTTAAGAGATCATCGAATTCAAATACATTAAAGGTAGAGGCAGACCTAAAAAAACTTGGTTAGAAAATATCAGGAGTGACCTTTCTTTATTAGATTTAAACGAGAATTTGACCTTTAATAGGACACAATGGAGAAAAAGGATTCATGTAGCCGACCCCACATAGTGGGATAAATGCTTGATGTTGTTGTTGTATCGAATTCAAATACAATAAAACCTATAGATGAGACTAACAAAAAAGATGAAGTGCAGAATGGAAAATGCATTCTAGTAAATGTAGATTTATCGAAAAAATATGAATTAGGTGTAGAAAATCTACTATTTGATACAGGATTACTGATTCCTATTAGCGAGCTTAATCCTAACATTTGAGATGAAATCTATCGAACATATTAACAAAGATAGCCATTTCAGCCTTCAGTCATGATTTTCCAAAAAAGGTAAATTTTGGATTAAGGATAGACGCTTTAATCCTACTTGATTTGAAAAGTACTATGACTAGTTAGAATATAGCATATGTAAAGGTAAAACATATTGCCTATATTGTTATCTTTTCACTGCATCCAGTAGAGACAACGAAGATGAGGAGGCATTTAATAAAAATTGATCTCCAAATTGGAAAAAGTCAAACAGATTTGACCTTGATATGGGAAGTCATAGTAGTGTGCATTTCAATGCTAGACGAAGCTATGAAGACTTAATTAAATAGAGTCAACATATTATTGATTTGTCTTAAAGAAACAATTAGATCAAGATACAATTGCATTATCGCATGTGACTAAATACTTCCGTTGATTGCATAAGATTTCTTTTAAGATTGGAATTGGCTTTTCGTGGACATGATGAGTCTTCATCAATCATCAATATCAAGCCTTTGTCCCACTACGTGGGGTTGTAACATGATGAGTCTTCTAAATAAAAAAAATCAAGGTTATTTTATTGAATTGATACAGTTTATGGCTGAACATAACAAATATATAAACGATGTGGTATTGAAAATGCCCCTGAAATTTTAAAATTAATTGCGATGCTATAAAGTCTCAGTTACCCTTATGAATGATTTGGAGGAGGTGTCTTAAGATAGTGCATTGAAATTCAATCTGTAAGTGACAGATTGTTGTGATGAATTTCCTCATTAATCTTGATTAAGAAGTCAATACCTACAACATGAATTTATTACATGTGTTTTTTTTTGCATTTTTAGGGAGGTTGCCTAAGCTCTACAAGTACGTTATCTTCTACCTAATGCTATCTACCTAAATTGTACAAGAATGTTATCTACCACTGTTAATCTCATAAATGAAAATGTTTGCATGATATAATTATATTCTTTCATTAAGTCATGTATTGGTGTAGATGCCAGATAGGTTGATGGTAGAGTGGCTGGGAGTTAGTAGTTGTTTTGATTGGTGTCATGTTGATGGCTTTCTATATTGGGTGTTCGACAATGAGCACTGATGGGCTGGAGATGTTAGTTGGAAGCTGGTGAATTACATGGGTAAATCAACGAATATTGTACAGGCCAATAACTTGTGAGTTCATCTGACATAGAAGGCGACTTGCTTATCTTTATCTTAGCTGAAAAATAGCAGGTGGATTAATCATATTCATCTTTGGAGAGAGAATAAGAGAGGGCCAAATGCTAGTGGATGAAAGCAAAAAATATTTGAATCATGTATTTATCTCTGATTTAGCAGAATGAGCATATTCTTTGTGCCATGGACGTAATTGAGCTTCACTAAGCCACTTAAATCACTTGTCTCTTAGTTTCTAGTATTTTTCTTGCAGATAAAAGTGACGTTATTAATCTTGAGGTGCATTTCTTTGATACTATTTAACTATTTAAGTCTAGGCTTGCGCCTTGCATTTTATGCCAGTCTAGTCATTTTATAAAGTACAGTGATTTGTAAATATTGTGATGAGCAGCTATGCCTATCTGTATCCTAGATTAAAATTGTCGAGATGGATGTCTCTTTTTGTAGATAAGTTGAAAAGATTTTAGTTGCAATAAATTCTCGGTTTTTATTAATAATGACCTGATGCGTTCACTTTTTTTGTTTTTCTTTTCAGCGATTTCTCAAAGTTTTCCTTTATGGCATTTAGTAACGTCTTGAAAGCCATTTGTGTTGCAGCCAAAAGCAGATGGCTCAGGCAGTTGTGGTTTTTTCTCTTTAGACAAGGAAATTACAGGTGTGCTTTTTGTGCTCAACCTTAATAAATACACATGGCTGAATAATCAAGGAACTGATTTCTATATCCCTCTTGCAAGTGTTAAAAGTTTTTATCATCAAAGAAGGAAGGATTTAACAGCTGTTGAAGAGCAAGTTTTGTCTATAGAACAGGAATTTAGAGATGGCAATCAACAGATTGTTGAGACTCACCAAGATTGCTATCAAGCTTCATATACTGATGACATCATTCTTGCTATAAGAAATCTGGTAACTGATATAACTTCTGAGAGATGTAAAACGGAAAAGTGTAAAGAAGCACAAGAGAGCATCCTTCGAGAAATTGAGAAGTTGGCTGCACAAGCTTATAGCATCTTCAGAAGATCTACTCCAGCTTTTATTGAGGAATCTGTCCCTGAAGCTGAACTGTCGAAGCCTTCCAAAAAATCCTGTTCCGGAACTGGCTCTGGCTATGAAATTCTTTGTCAAGGATTCAATTGGGAATCACACAAATCTGGAAGATGGTATGGTGAACTGATGCCAAAGGCTGATGAATTAGCTTCTCTTGGATTTACTACTGTATGGTTGCCTCCGCCAACTGAATCTGTATCTCCAGAAGGATACATGCCAAAGGATTTATACAACTTAAATTCCAGGTATGATTTTCTCAAACTATACTTTTATCTACTTAATGAGTGATAGAAGAATAACGTTTTCTCCTGTCACCATGCTTTTGAGGTCAATATTTGCTTCAGTTATCACTCCTATAGTTTCTTGTGGATTAGCTTCACTAGCATACCACTCATCCCAGCATTATTAAGCTAGTTTCAGAGTGTCTGAGTCATACTGAATTGTGATTTATATTGGAGAACATGTCTACTTTTGAATCACTACATTAACAATCCAGGCAAGGATATTCCTCGGAATTCAATTGTTCTTTCTTTCATGATTTGCTCTGATCGTTGAGGTACCACTCTCTTTTTACAATGAATTTAGTTGAAAACCTAAACAGGGAAGAGACTTGAGTTATTAAGCGCTAGTAATATTAAAGAAAGCTCTTTAACTAATTGGAATACTTGAATATGTAGACACGAAGCTTTAGCCATCCACTCACATAAACGTAACTGATCTGCAAATGAGATGAACAAGGTGGGAAGCTATCTATATTTTAAAGACGCTAAAGGTTCAATTACATGGAAACTAGGGGCAACATAGCTTCCAATGCTTTCCATAGTGACGTAATTGAAGTGGCATAATCTAATATTTCGTCATATTTACTTAGAAGAGATCTGAAGGTATAATTATAGAGAGAAGGGTTAGATAGAGAGAGAGTCTAAGAGAGAGAATGAGGGTTTCAGGATGAGGGTGTTGAAGGAGAAGGTCAGTTGTCAAATAGAGCAACCTTTAGGCTTTTTTTTTATTTTCCAATATTTATGCTTTCTAATACAATCATTCAAGGACCTTTATATAGGAGATGTCTTACACCAAAAAGACAGACTACTCATGACTATGTGAAAAGGACTAATGTAACCACACATGAAATAAAAAAAACATAAACATGAAGTATTACTCCTGATGTTCGCATTAAATACATTATGATCTATTCTTCATGCATGGTTTGTAGATCTTCATGAAGAAGTCCAATGAACACACTAAGATCCGGAGGATTGGTGTCAAAGGACGGCAATATTCCTGCTCCTGTAGTATCTCAGTAGGTATGAGCAATAGACAAGGTTGTGATCGATGTGAGATAAAGTCAATGAAATCATTTAGTAGTAAAACGTCAAGCAATGACAACACATGAAGCTGAGGAATATATTTTAACATTGTCTCAACAAACAAGTATGTGCTGCCTAGACTCAATATTATACTCAATAATACATGAGTCTCAAGTATGACGGATAGTAGAACTACTTCAAGATCATATTGCGAGAATTAATTGTTATCATTAGCTTCTAGCTCATCTCTAGAAAACCAATCATCATCTTGATAGGTTCAATCTGATTTGTCCAATTGACAAAAATATCTAAAAGTTTTCTTTGTCTTAATTTATTAATCTTGTTGGACTAGTGGTGCTAATTTGGAGCTAACAGATTGAATGATGGAGGGAGGGTAAAATTAATGATAACATAAATGATAAACATATCCCTTATCACAATATAATAGGTTGTATCTTTAATGTTAATGAAGATATCTATGACCCTGATAATTATGGGCGACCTTGATTCATACACGATTGAGTGGCATGCTCGAAATATTTAATTTAACCTTAAAAAATGGTCATGCATAAGATTAATTGTTTCATGGAATTGTTCATGTTGATATTTCACTTGTTCATTGTATGATAATTTGTTCACATATGTACTCATGACAGTACATGAATCAATAATATATCATAAAAATATAACCTTTTCTTTAATAGGAAAGGACTCATCACTTCTTGTGCACAAAGAGAGGCGAGACTGCTTCATTGGCTTGATGAAGGATGAACTATTTCACATGTCATGAGAGAACCAATTATAGGTAAGGTTAGTTTTGAAGAACAAGGTAGATATTGAAAGGAAGATTTTTTGTTGTTTGTTATACATGATGGCGAGCAGGCTTGCATGGATGCATAATAGAGTGGAAAAGGTGGGGTAGATGGGTGGAAAAAATCTTAGGGGGTATAATGTAGACCCCTAATAGTCTTCTCTGGTGTTTTTACAGATAGCATCTTAATTGTGACAATAATACTCCTCAAGAGTGGATGCATTCAAGGACTCCCCATTGCTGCAAGAGGAACTTGCCCAAGGAGAGAAAATAACTTGTCCGTATCCTCTTAGGAGCTAGCCTTACATTGGGCGACTTGAAGTTTTTTTACCAAACAAGCGGATCATCATTCATCGTAGTCAAACTCTTACCCTTTAAACCCGTTGAGCCTGCCAAACCCATTTACAAGAAAGCATCTACAACAGTGATCCCTCACTCATTTAGCCACTACTTATGCCAGGCTCAGGAACTCACATCTCCCTTTCATCAACAAGGTGACATCGAGCTTCGGATGTCACTCACCAATATCAAAAGATGAATTTTCGGCTACATGTCCACCTTCTCTTAGGACTCGCCCTACACTTACTCGTCTCCTCTTGAGCTCCCCCAATGACAGACAACTCGGACATTGACTTCACCTTCCCAAGGCCAATCAAGAGACGCCATGTATCTTAGATTAATATGTAGCATTGTATGAACAAATTTTGATTCAACATCCTCTTAGGTGCAGTGAGCTTGGACTGATGTTAAAAACCATAAGATAAACTTTGCTTGATGAGCGACTTCAATAGGAACCATTAATGAACATACATAACGTGGAATACACCACTCATATGGATTTGCAGGAGATGGAAGAATTACTTATGAAGATAATCAGAGAGGCCTTGGGCGGCCTTGCAGGAAGAATATAGGTTGAAGATATGCATGAGGGATCATCTTGGTAGCTCGTCAAAGACGCTCTTAAAGGGCACTAACCTTTACACTTGTCGATCTGACAAGGTTGGAGGGAGCTGGAGTTGACCAATGCCTTTTCAAGTCCAATCGTCGAAGCGAGGCCGCCTCTAAAGTTTTAAGTGCCCACATGGAGTCCGATCGAGCCAAGATTGACCCCACTAATCATGTGGTTACTTTCGACTTTATGATCTCCTTGGTAGACATAGACGATGCTCTTAAGTTCCACCTCTTCTTCATGACACTCAAAGAGTCTTCACTCAGGTGGTTCACTCGCTCTCCCTTGGGAGTGATCACCTCATTTTCTGAATTTAAATAAATGTTTCGGACATAATTCACTAGCATCCAGAGACCCTAAAAGAGTTTGCATGGTCTGCTGAAGATGATTCTGGAGCTTGGGAAGTCTCAAAGGAACTTCATAGTGAGTTTCCAGAGAGCGATGTTGGGCATAAAAAGATCTGGAGTCTGCAGTCGTCTAGGCTGCCTTGAGCCAAGGATTAAGGAAAGGTTCTTTTGGATACTCACTTGTCCTACAACAATCGAGAACTCTTGCTGAACTGTTGGAGTTGGCCAACAATCTTGTGAATGCTGAAGAGTATAATTATGTAGCTGAATCTTTCGTAACTACCCATGGTTTAAAATTGCGCAATATGAGGCTCGCCTTGAGGCCCGCCTTTGCGCAATTCCAGGAAAAAACGCCTCGATGCTTACGCCTCAAATTTTTTTTATGAGGCTTGCGCCTCAACTTGGTTGAGGCCCGCCTCGCCACACTGGCACGAGGCTTACGCCTCACGCTATATATATTAAAACTTACATAAATCTTGAAGTAAATGCCCAACATTGGACTCTATAGGAGAGGAGGAAGGGGAGAGAGCAGTTCATCATAATGATGATTCAAATGAAGAACCCCTTAGTGATGACAGTGTTGATGACTTATAAGTTCTTATGTGATATATCATTGTTATTTATTTTTGGAAATTTGAATTATATGTTAATGAAAAGAATACTGGGATTTGGGAAAGATAGAATTTTGAGTTGAACTACATTTCATGTTGTCTTATTATTGGGATATTTTGATTTCACTTCATATCTTATGTTTTTTTATGTTTTATATTATTCACTCATTAGTATATAAAAAAATTTATCATTTTATATTTACGCAATCTTTTGATTTTGAGGCTTACGCCTCAAAACGCCTTGAGGCTTACGCCTCGCCTCACGAATGAAAAACTCCTCAATACCCGAATACGCAATTTTAAACATTGTAACTACCCACCATCATGAAATCTCCCCAAGGTGAGAACCCCATCGAGGAAAGAAAGAGAAAGAACACATCTCAGGGATAGGAAGAACAAAAGACAATACTCCGCACGTTCGTCAGTGTCTGAGCAGTAGAGGGTGCTCATGTGATAGAGGCCCTCAAGGATAATAGGGCCGCCAGCATTGAGGCCTAGGAACTTCCTCGCTCCACTAGGCTTATCATGAAGTGGTCACCCATCAACCTCTCAGTTGCCTCATTTATGCATTGTTGAGAATGTTAATGGTCAAGCTTGTAGAGGTCATTCAAAACAAGGAGTTCTTTAAGCACTTGCTGCTGATGAAGGCCATTGTAAACACCTGCAATACCTTAAGGTATTGCACTTTCCACTAAAATCACACCTATGATATGGAGTGCCGCCACCTCCATTTCCTAGTGAAAGAATTGATTATGTACGAAAACTTGAAGGAATTTATGCTCGTCTATCCAGGTCAGTGACCAAGAAAAGACTCTGCCAAGGGCAGTGCAAATGAGCTAATACTTGTTCGCTTGGTACACATAGCCAGTGTAGTGCTCGCCATTATGGGCAGAAAACATGTAGAATTGCTCGCAAGTCCTAAGAGGTCATGAGCAGGAGAAGTCAACTTGGCGGTCCACCTCACGAATTGCTGTGATGGGCATCACCCTGTATAAACCAACTAGAGGGAACCCCCATAATGACATAGTGGTTATCACTGCATTAGTCGCCAACTATTAGATTGATATCATTATGATAAATTTTAGGAGTTCAGTAAATATTATTTTTAAATTTGTCTTCAATAAGATGAATTTGTTTACATCATAGCTCACCCCTATTGTGTCACAACCCGGCCCGATTAGGTCGCAAGTGCGAAGCGAGAACGGAGGTCGGATAGTCGG